AATGTATATTGGAGCTGGATTAATATTAACAGTGAAATCTGGATGGTTTCTTCTGCTCTTTGTCCGGATCGGAGCTCTGGAGTCTCGTGATGCTGATGCAGTTTCATACTGGTTTAATCAAAATTTTGAATGTATATTGGAGCTGGATTAATATTAACAGTGCAATCTGGATGGTTTCTTCTACTCTTTGATCGGATCGGAGCTCTGGAGTCTCGTGATGCTGATGCAGTTTCATACTGGTTTAATCAAAATTTTGAATGTATATTGGAGCTGGATTAATATTAACAGTGCAATCTGGATGGTTTCTTCTACTCTTTGATCGGATCGGAGCTCTGGAGTCTCGTGATGCTGATGCAGTTTCATACTGGTTTAATCAAATTTTTGAATGTTGTGTTTGGTTAGAAGTGTTTCTTTTAGATTGTTGACTTATGTTGGTTTTTATCTTTGAGGTATTTTTCTTGTCCCTACATAAGCTTTTGTTTTATGCTTATGTAAGGTAGTTTTGTTGTTGAACTCTTGGTGTTTTTGTAATCTTCTATTCATCAATAAAATTGGGCCATGGCCCCAAAATTTCCCAAAAAAAAAAAAAATGTTGATGGCATGTGTTAACCTTATAGATGAATGATTTGTATCAATGTTGGTAACAACGATAATCGATGAAGTCGACGCGGATCAATATTTGTGTAAACAACATGCATCAATCTTATAGGCAATACCATGTGTTAATATTGTTGGCGACGTCGGGCAAAAAAATTGGTGGGCCTCAATGTTTGTGTTAATGACCTGTATCTATCTTATAGGAGATGGCATGAATCAATGTTGTTGGTAACAATTACTAATGAAGTCATCGAGTGTCTATGTTTTTGTCAACATTGTGTATTGACTTTATATGTGAAGTTATGCATGGACAATGTTAGGAACAAAGTTGAGTAATGAATATAATCAAGTGATGTTGATTAAGATATCATAATCAGGTAAGGACAATCATGAGATGCTAGTCTGGTGATGTGTCATGACACAAGTCTTACACTAGACAAGGCATATTGTGCTGAATTCATGGCAGATGATGCCCAATATATTAATTAGAAGAGATTATTCTACATAAGCAAAATAACAGCACATAGCTGCTAGTAACTTCAAAATATACAAAATAAATCATTACATCCTTTTTACTTCAATTCACATTATCATATAATCAAAATATTTATTTATAATAATCATGGTTCCAATTACTATCATCATTATCATTGATATAATATCCTATGACTTCAAAAAAATAATCATTAGAAGGCATACCTATAATTTCACCAATAATTCCTTGGCTTTGACCTTTACTACTCAACTCTTTAATTTCCCTTCTCTTGCTCTGAAATTACAATACAAATAAACAAGTATGAGTAATATTTGCTCAATAGGTCAACTGACACCCACCCCATTTCTCAAAATAAATAAATAAAACATGTTATTTTACTACTACAATAGAAACAAATAAACATGATCTCATTATAAAGATTTTTACAATAAAATTCATAGCATTACTATATATAGTGTTTCAGTATATTAGTTAGTGTATGAAATCATATTCAATGTCAACATAAATTCAATGTAAAGATAGATGTCATATTCATGTGATAAAATAATTAAAATAAAGTATCACTTCACAATACATTACATTAGTTTGCATAAGTACATCATCACATCACATAAGTTCCCTCGGGCATTTATATCTCCTAAGTACATCATGTATACATCATCCATAACATCACACCAGTCTCCCTAGGCCCTTATATCATCCAAATAGTTCACATGTATAGTGTCAGGACTTTACGCATCCCATTTACAATGGCATTTATAACTTCATGTACACAATATAATTCATTTATCCATATGTTTAGGCCCTTATAGCTCTCATTGATTATTTCATATTTCTAGTCACATGAACATAAAAATTGTAGTATTTTTAACAAGTATAAATTGTATTTAACATCATGTCATAATATAAAAAATTTTACATGTAAAATGAATCAAATAGTATTTTGGGAGAATTACCTGTACACGTTCAACATTTACAAATCACAAAATCATTCATAAGCAACATCATTGGCATCATTTTGAAGTTTTTATTATTTTATAGCCACTTCTATCTATGTCAACATACTCACCAAAATACATAAAATTTCGTGACATTAAAAATACACGGCCAAAATTTAAGTTTCTTGTCAACAAATTGGAACAGTATATTCTATAATATACAAAAAATTGCCTTGCGAAAAGTGTAGAAAGTTTCTTAACTTCATTTGATCAAATAAATTACCAAAACTCTCATAAAAAGACTAAAACTAAAAAAATGAGATAGTGTGACAGTAACTAACATTGATCCGAACAATTTTTCTAATTGGCTCGACAAGAAAAATCAAATCAACTCAGAGACCTCCAATATTCACTCTCTCTCTCTCTCTCTCTCTCTCTCTCTAGCTGATTGCCCTTAAAAAATGTGAAATGAATTTTTAAAATGGATTTAAATATTTTATAGGCCTATTAATGCAATGTTATTTTCCACAGCATCGTAGCGCTACCAAAAGGAAAATTCTATATATTCATGAAAAAGAGCTCCAAGTTACAACATTGTACTTTTATCCTTAATTGCTAATTTGACAGAGAGGATAGTATCACAGTCAATGATGGAGCCATAAACATTTTTTTAGAGGGAGCACAACTGTTTTTAAAAAAATTCCCCTCAACTTTTTTCATCCTAGCTTAGGACCAATATAACCAGTTTTTATTTAAAAAAAAAAATGAATACTAAATATAAAAATGGAAAATACTTACAATTTATATCATCTACTCTTCATATTTTAAAAAAGGTTAACAATTACATCATGATCAATACAATCAGATATTTCTTTATCAATATAGGCAGGTAAAGTACCATTTATCCACTGATCTCCAATCATATTTCATAGTCGAGTTTTAATGATAGTCATCACAGAAAATAATCTTTCTACTCCTATTGTTGCAACTATTAAAATTCACGCGTGTTTTAATATCCTGAAAATAAGAGGATATAAAATATCCTTCTTGTTATGTATCATTGTCTCAGTAAGACATCCAATATATTTTAATAATGAGAAATGTGGATCTGATTGCATATTCATATTATAAGTTTACAATTGATTGTCTAGAATTTTCAATTCAACATGAGTAACATCACATGAATAAATATATGTCATTCGAATTAATTTGTCTTTACTAAATGCACAAAATAATTATTTGGATTAAAATAGATAATAGATAAAAGTAACACAATATTCATCTCTATGAAGCTATTATTTAACTCTTGAAGCTGCATATCAACAACTGCGTAGAAAATTTCAACTCGAAAGTAATGTAAATTTGTCATATTTTGAGCTCTACGATGAGGCAGTCCCCGAGCAACCCATCATAATTCATGTGGGTAATATCTATTTTGTGATGCTCACGAAAAGAAGTTAGTTTGGTGATGAACTCTTCCCATTTATCATATCGCATATCTTGTAGTCTATTTTTACATATTTGAATCAAAGACATAGCATTTACGATGTCTCATTATTTTCTTTGCAAAGCTTGTGACAACTCATCAATTATACCAAATATTTCACTCATCAATAGTAAGTAGAATAAAAATTTGAACAATTGCATTGTCCAAATAATGTGAATGCCTCAACTATCTGTTCAGAACTTATACCATCTTCAACAACCACTTCTAAAATATCAATAACTAAGGAGGCTATTATAATCAATCTAATAATTGATTCATAGTAAGATATCCATCATGTATCACCTGTCACAACCCAACCCGACCAGGACAGGTCCTATCGCGTTGAGCTGTGATAGGCAAATCGATCCAATTTTGGAATTATTTTAGATTTTCTGCCAATATTCATTAAAATAAACTATAGAATACATAGCTACTAAATATCCAAATACTAACAATAAACTCATCCATCATGTTTCTTTCATTTCATTAAAATAAATATCTACACTACAGTACATGACTACATACAAGAGCTACATAACTAAAAATTTAACTATCCATAATTATACAAAAATAAAAATAACAATATACCTATGACATCAATTTTGATCCTAAACTGCTAGCCCATAATCTTTTTCCCCTTCCAAGATTATGAAAATTAGAAGTAAAATCATAGTGAGTTACAACAGCTCAGCAAGCCATACAAACCAATCTAATTTTCCAAATATTCTTTATTTTGTATAATATTTAAAAGTAGTTAAATGCAATTTAAATAAATCACTAAACTGAGAAATATAATAAATGTATAATAGTTATTCTCTGATTTAAATAATAGTACATAACAAATAAATAAATTAAAATTTATAGCACATAGTAGTTCATATTACATTTCACGGACTCAGACAAAATCTCAAAGGATTAAGGCCTCTTATGACTCCCTTTTTATTTATACTTATAGCACTATAACATATCACATATTCCTGTCTCAGACAAAATCTCAAAGCATTTTGACTCCTTATAACTCTTATCAATTCTCTAACACATACATAATCTCAAAGAATTCTGGCCTCTTATGGCTCCCAACATATATAATTTAATCACATATGCACATATATCATCACATTATAACAATTAAAGAGTAATTAATAATGCACATATAGATTAGTTTTCTTCAATTTATTTCTTTATGAAATCCGTGATGACAATCAATGTGGCTCTGGTGATATCCTTTTGAATATCTAGTGCAGTTAACTTTAAATTTTATAGAACATTTTTTAGCACCACATTATTTATCCCATTGTTATGTTTAAAACTGCAACAGTAGAATAAAATTTTATTGATTTCTAGATGTGTTAGACTTTTAGACTTATCATGGCTTCTAAAAACTAGTCATTGCCTTAAAAGAAAACGCACACAATCAACCGATGCATTTAGACACGTACAATATGCAGCAATGGCAGAATCTGACTGCTACTAAAAATCATCAATCTGCCACTTGTCCCAGTCCTCAATTCCTAACACTCCCAAGAAGAAGATTAATTCAATACCAAACAAGAAGCTTAACGTTGCAGTACTCTTAGGGATAATTTTGCACCTAACATTTCTCATCCAAAATAAACTAACTTTCTAATTCATGATTAAATTAATCATAAAAATGATGCTAAGCATTTATAGGAATTTATTAAGTACCGAATGAACTTAAAATTCTTACCATGTCTAGTTCAGATCAGTCCTATAAGACTAAAATCATTGTCGAACATAAAATTAACTCGTTGTTATTCAAATTTTAAGCATGCAATGATAATACTCATATAGAAATAAATAACATTTAAAAGATAAAAGCAATTTAAAATTAACATTCTTTAAAGAGGCGCCAGTGGTTAGAGGGTTATACACGAGCAACAATGTAATTTGCCTTGAGATTTGTGCTCGATAAAGATACTTTTTTGATGATATATCATAGCATACATCAATGTTATTCTTAGGATCTTTTTTCCCTTTTAGAAAATATTAATGATTTGGATTTTAAAATTTTTATTTATTTATTTTTGAATTTTTTTTAATATTTAAAATAACTTTTAAGTAATTTCTTTTTTAATTATTATTGAAAACTATCCGAGTAAGCTGATCATTGCCTCCACCACCATCATTGTTGCGAACAATTACTGATCACTACTATCGCCGGTATTAGTCCAAGTTACTATCATCGCTATCCACCAACATCGTCATCAATCACCAACGCCACTATTTATGTTCATCACTACCTTCGCCATCATTAAAATTGATCACCATCGCACCACCATCAAACTATCAGCTGCCATCACCGCTTTTCGCAATCACCAACTACCATCACTTTGGCATAATTCTACTAATGAACTATTTAATAAATAAAGCCTCTTCTCTTTTCAACATTTTACCCCATTTTTACAACACATTTATATGTATAAAAGCCATATTCAAGTAGGGACTTGGCACCTAGCTCATTTTGATCTCCTCGTTATGAATTTTGACTAATAATTAAGAGGTCTTAAATTAGAATCTTAAGTATATGATGGGTATGTGACTATCAGGTATTTCTCTTCTGTGATCTTTCCAATTGAGGATGGAAACAAAGTTAACCAGATAATACGAAATGACAAAATTGCCTATGTTCCCTTTAGCGGCGGCAACCAATCTCATCAAGTCCTACTGCGACAGCGGTCGACTCTCAGACGCCCGTCGGGTGTTCGACGAGCTGCCTGAACGCGATGTCGTCGCATGGACGGCTATGATCTGCGGCTACGCCTCAAACGCGCTGCCCGAAGATGCTTGGGGTATCTTCCGAGCCATGGCCGCCGCCGGCGTCGACGCCAACGCCTTCACCCTTTCCAGTGTTCTCACGGCCTGCAGGGTAATGGAATTCGCCGAATTCACAGCCTCAGTACATGCTATTGCCGTCCGGCGAGGCATCGTTGGCCAGATGCACGTCGATAACGCGCTGGTCGACGCGTATTCCGCCTTCCCCTGTGGCATACAGGACGCACTCAAGGTGTTCGATGGAATCTCTCAAAGAAGTCCCGTATCATGGACTACGATAATCGCCGCCTATGTCCGCCATGGAAATGGTGGCGCCGCTGTAAAGATGTGCCGTCGAATGTTCAAGGTACCTTCATCCTTATATATCATTTGAGGACTAAGGAGGCTGTTTGGTAGCATCCAGAATTTGATTCAAGTAGGATTTCGTAAATCCTCTAAATCTAAATTTCGGAAATTCTGAGGGGTCTAAATCTTGAATAATGTTTGGTAACATTCATGATAAATCCTATTAAATCCCAAATGTTTGGATGTAGAGCAGATTTAACGAGTGGACTCTCCCTCTCATTGTCCGACAACAAACGGGATTTTGAAAATTCCAATCCGGGATTTAGCACAAAAAGGCGGAAATTTCCGTCTACAGCGACTTTCATGGTAGATTTGGTTTTAAATTTTAGGCCGTTTAGCTGGATTTCACTCAAATCCGCCTTAAATCTAGCCTAAATCCTGCTACCAAACAACCCCTAAATATGACTGAAAACTCAGATTTTTTTGCTGCTAGTCGATTTCCTCAGTTCTAGTAGTGGATTTTGGTAATGCCAACATCTTTGATAAGACATAAAAAATTTAAGCTCATGATAAGATTATGACTGCAACATTCAAGTCTTCAGTGAAATAGATATTTTACAGTTTGAATGAAGTTTGTAAGTGCATGGTGAGATTAATGACCTTAATGTTTCTTTTCGAAGCAGGAGGGAGTTGAATTAAATCCTTTCACTCTATCCATCACTGTCCGAGCCAGCGCTGCAGTTGAGAGCCTTACATTCGGCAGGCAAATTCATGCTGCCACTGTTAAAATTGGGCATGAAAGTAACCTGCACATTTCGAATGCAATCACTGATATGTACTCAAGATGCAAGAGCTTTTCAGAAGCCAGAAAATACTTCAATGAGATGCCTCAAAAAGATTTGATCACTTGGAATACAATGATAGCAGGTCTAGATCGCGCCGGATCCCTCGATTCTTGCCGCCTGCTTCTCAACATGTTTTCACAATCTGTTCAGCCTAATTTCTTCACTTTCACTACAATCCTATCATCCTGTGCAAAACTTTCCAAATTAAGCTTTGGTCACCAAATCCACTGTGTTGTTCTGCACAGGGGCTTTGGAGAAAACCAGCAGATAGCCAATGCACTAGTTGACATGTATGCAAAATGTGGCAGCTTAGCTGACTCACAAAAAGTTTTCAATAAGATGTGTTACAGAGATTTGGTGTCCTGGACTTCAATGATAAGTGGATATGGAGTACATGGCAATGGTAAAGAGGCTGTGGAATTGTTCAATGAAATGGTGAGCTATGGGATCCAACCTGATTCAATATTGTTCATGGGAGTAATAAATGCTTGTAGCCATGCTGGTATGGTAGAAGAAGGTTTGAAGTTCTTCAATTTGATGGAAAGAGTATATGGTGTTCGGCCAGATAAGGAGGTGTATGGTTGCGCGATCGATCTCCTTGGCCGGAGCGGGAGGCTAGGAGAGGCTTCGGAGTTGATAGAGAAGATGCCTTTTGAGCCTGATGAGTCTTTATGGGGTGCACTTCTTGGAGCTTGCAAGATGCATGGTAATGCAAAATTGGGAAGAGTTGCTGCGCAGAAGATACTAAATTTGAAACCTAAGGGTGCAAAGACTTATGTAATTTTGTCAAATATTTATGCTGCTGAGAGTGAATGGGGTTCGTTTGCTGAGATAAGGAAGCTTATGAGAGGAGTGGGTGGTAAGAAGGAGGTAGGAATGAGTTGGATTGAGGTAAGAGAAGAAGTCTACAGCTTTGTGGCAGGTGATGAAAGCAATCCATGTGTGTGTTTGGCTTCTGAAGTTTTGGCGATGCTTATTTGTCACATGGATAGAGAGATATTTGGCTCATAAGTTTTTACAACTCTTCATATCCATGAGTTTTACAGACGCTATGAAATTAAACAATCTTCAGTTACTTCGAGATCTGCGGCGATAATGTCAAGCTTAATGGAAAATTCTGCAGGGGAACGAGGAAGCTTATGAGGTGTGGGTGATAAGAAAATATAGGAATGAGTTGGATTGAGGTAAGAGAAAAAGTTCAAAGTTATCATTGTGTTAGTTTGGCTTCTGAAGCTTGTGACTTTTGCATGTGCAGATCACATCAATAAGCTAGATGCTCTTGATTAAGTCAAACAACAGGGCGAACGATTCAATCGGGCTTGCTCTACATGGCATCAACAATTATATGAGCTAAAAGGTTACAGGGTGGTTACAGTGCATTGCTTAAGGGCACCTCCAACCAAAAATCTCATTTTCCACTCCAAAATACAGTGAAATTAAAAAATGGCGTGAGTCATCTCCAATCGAACTCCATTTTGCGCCCAGGTAACCGTCTTTCTCCTTCGCGCATTTCTTCGACAAATCCGGTAGAGATAGAAAAATAACGCAAGTGAACAGTGCAACGCCAATATTGATGTCGCATTGTTCACCCGCAACCAAATATCAGAAGTTTTGTCGTTCAGGTGGAGCTCACGAGCGATGCCATTCATATGTTTGGAGTTCGGTTGGAGAAGACCTAATTAGCTAAAAGGTTGCTAGCCAAAGTATGAAGTGTATACTAAGGTTCCAACAAGCTAAAAGCCTGGGTTCATCATTTGATGAGATCAATTGAAGTATGTTTATATCAATGATTGCTCAACAGTTTAAATGAAATAAGTAAATATATTTGTTGAAATACAGAAATAATAGCATTTTAACAAGCAAACCTCATCATCCATTGTGGAGAAGAACTTCTCCAAAGGTATAAACCATTTCATTTTCTTTGTTACATGTTTTCCAGTCAAACACATCTTTCTGATTAACCTTGGAAGACAAGTCAGACACTAAGGATTCAAATTGAAGGGAAAATTTCTGAATCAACTCATGGTTCTGAATCCTGCTAATTCAATAAAACAATCACATAGTCCTCCCTATAAGCATTAGAGCTCCTAAAACACCAATCATTTGCTGTAAGAATAGATGGAAAATACTGGTTCTACGAATCAACTAACTGAACACATGCACTGTGAACATCTTGGATGTCTGTAAATACTTCTAGCTACAGGCCTTTCATAAACCATCTTGCTCTGCTTAACTGTTTTCCTAACTCTTACCTCAAATTGCTTCCATTCTATTGTGGAATTCTTTGCAAAAATGCTAACTAATCTGCGCTTATTTGGTCTTATGGTAGGGTGTCTTCCACCCCCATAATATATGCGATAGCCAGCAACAAGAGATGATAACTGGCTTCCAGAGTCCGTCATGGCAAATGCATCAGCAGCAGAACATACAATGAAGTCTAGGGCAGCTAACTGCAGAAAAGAGTTAAGAGAATTCAAGGGACTTGATAGTTTATTGCCATTAGTTTAAATAATTGTTGTTGTATATTAGGCTTAAAGAACAAGTGATTTAAATCAGGAGGCTTTGCATACATACCATAAAATTCTTACATATTTATATATACTATACTAAAATCTTTATATTTACTTATATAACACTTTCATATCTAAATCATATCATAACATATACATGAAAAAATATATTTTATTTTGAAAAAGTTAATATTAGTAATATTTTTTATGTGATATAAAAATTAGTGTTTAATAAAAAAAAATAAAGATGTAAATGTAACATAAGAATTCTATATAAGGTAAGAAATGCAAATACATAAGAATTCTAGAAGTTAAGGGACTAGATAGTTCATTGCTATTAGTTTAAAATAATTGCTGTGGTATATTGGGTTTAAAGAACAAATGATTTAAATTATATTTATAATGCCAAAAATTAACAGCCTACTCAGAAAAAAATTGTATTGGGATATTCATCTTGATCAAATTAGTTAAAACCCATCCGATCAAACAGGGATTTTTTATGAGCACAACAAGTTATAAATTGGATGAATATGCCACTTAATAAACAAAAAATTACCCTCACATCTCAAAATTGGGTTGAAATTAGTTTAAAATATGTATATATGACAAGACACATGATGGTGACAATAACGATGACAATGTGACAGATTTGTGATTAGTTAAAGTCATTCTAATAACTATGCTACAGTTAATTCGTCTTGTTCTTCAAGCTTATAGATTACATAAATTAGAAAGTTTATTAAAAACAAATAAAGCACCCTATAGTTTTCCCTTTTGGTAGAAACAAAAAGATTTTACTAAGTTTGAAAATTACACAAGTCGCCTTTTATATATAAGGATATTTTATTTAACTAATGTTCAAATTTTTATGAACTTTCTTCCAAATCTAATGTCCCCTCTTAATTTGGTAGGCTATTGGCACCAATTATTAATGCTTGGATAGTCATAAACCAAGCAAACGAGTCAGGTTTGTTTGTATAACAGAGAGGATTACAACCCGTTCAGTGATGCTCAGATTGCCATAAAATCAAGATTTATAGCTTAAGTTGCTATAACGCCAAGGCAATGATCTAAAATTGATTACAACCTACGTAGTATACTAAGGTTGGAACAAGCTAAATGTCTGGGTTGCAAGTAATCAGAGAATATGCCTAGGTGAATCTATTCTAATAGCCTTTATTTAAAAAGAGGATAAAGCATTTTGTTCAACATAATGAGAGCATTGAGTTTAGACCCACAGTGAATAATTAAAAATATATATTAATAGTTGCCCCTCATAACGAGATTAAACTTTCGGGTTGAAAATATATTTAACCATTAGTCTATTGATTCAACTTTAGTCTAATTTGATTCTCACACTAACCATTATTAGACCATCTTCAATCGAACTCCATACCACTGTATGCCTTCCACCATTTGCTCCATTAGAACTCCAAATTGCAAGCAAAATTCCGGCAGGTGAACAGTGCGATGCCAATATTGACATCAGGTTGTTCACCTACGCCAAAAAAATTCACTGCGGGATTTGCTGAAGAAGAGCGCGAAAGAGGAGACAAGCACACCAAAGATGGTTACCTTCGCAGGAAACAAGCAAAAGAAGAAGAAATGACATTTGATTGGAGAAGAATGACTGCATTTTGAAGTTTTAATGCATTTACAGTGGAAAATGGGTTTTTCGGTTGGTGATGCCCTTAAAACTAATGATTTGGGGGATCTTAGTCATACGTAAGCAATATTTAAGAACAAATGACTCCCATATTACAACCACTTAAAGTATGTTCTCGGTGTCTTAACACTTAATACTTCTAAAAAACTCTCATTCAAAAGGGAATCAAAGTTGATGTTTAGAGCATCCATGTCAGAAGATGATTTTTTTTGGTCCTACATCAGATCATTGAAAATGTACACATAAATGCTAAGATTAGCACTCACCATAGATCTGAACTTTCTAATTTTAAAATAAATTTAAGCATTAGCGTATCAAACCAAATTTGTTCTTTCTTTAAACCACATTCCCAATTAGTATTTCCTAGTTTATAATTTAGAAATCAGACTCGTTAAACAGGAAGAATTCATCTGTAGCCCTTGAGTTGACCTTCATTATTTTCTTAGTCACATCCCTTTCAAATAATCCTATCAATTCATTTAGGGAAAAAAAATTGCAGTCGCCTAATTACCTCTATATTTTCCTCCCCTAGTCTAATTATTCACTATTAGCTTCTTGTTACTGGGAAACTACATTTGATTGGTAACAGACATCCGTTAAATTCCCTCAATCTGAATATTGTCTAATGGGATCTGATTATTGAAAAATTGAATTAGGTTAATCCCACCAAACAGTAATAAACAAATATTTTCAAGCAATAACCAAATTCAAAAACGGAAGCAGCTCAAGTCACTAAGTTTCGGCAGTGGGAATGAATGGGCGGATGAGCGGTTCTGCCTTGTAAAACGAATGTGAGAAGGAAGATAAACATGTATTCGGTATCACAAATAGTTACTTTGTAAAATTTGCAATTTAAAATGGAATGAGACAAAAAATAATATAAATCAGCAAAAATATTAAAAAAAAATCATGGTCAACTTAGTAGCCAACTAGCCATTGATGAATTCTCTTTTAAAAAAGGGAACAAATGAGTTTCTTTTTCCTAATAAATTTCCCAATAAACTTTAGATAGCCATATATCGTATGATGTTGAATTCAAAAAAAAAAAAAAAAGACTTTAAACATGAAACATTTCAAATAAAATTTCTGACTTCAATACAAACAATTGAGGTAAATTCACCGGTTAAGTAAAACAACTAAAACTTGCTAATCTTGATAAGAAATTGCATTGGAAAAAAAAATTACCTGAGAAGAAAAGTTGCTGAACGGTTCAATTTCAGAGGGAGAAAGAAGGCTTTCCTTTGTTGCCAAATTGGGGTACAAACTCTTCAAAGCAGCCATTCTTGACTTCCCACCATAAATATCAGCACCAGCAACATACAACTTTGTTTTACGCTTAAAACCAAGAGCAGCAAGCATGAGTACTGACTCTTCAGGTGTGAGAGGGCACTGACCTTCAGATCGCAAAACGTCTGGAGAAGGCATTCTGACATGCAAAAAGAGGATATAAATGAAAGGTAAAGAAGCAATACTCAAAGAAGAGGAAGAAAAGATAGAAAAAAAAAGGAATGGATTGAAATTTTTGTGAACAGTATAAATATCAGTAAGGTCAAAAACTAACATTCATACTTTGTAGTTTTCCTCAGGGTATTCAATGCAGGAAAATGGACTTCTCGATATGCCTCTAGTTCTTCCTCTTCTTCCTTTCCACCACCAAAATAGCACAGTGAATATGCAGCCATGTCAATTTCAAACCTAAGGTGTATGGCTAAATATCTGGATGACTTGATAGCCTTTGCATTATGATTAGATTTGGCCGCAGGTGGACCGAGCAGATTACGTTCCAAAAAGCTCCATTGTGATATATGATGGCGCATCCTCTGAACCAGCAACGAACCAGTTTCTTGTATTTTATTAACAAATCTCAGCGCATGAAAGTTGCACCTACACCGCAGACGCTGGACAATCTTTGTGTTAGAAATGTACGATTGGTCTTATAAAAGCTTGTAATGTATATGATATGAAGCTTGAGGAGGTGGTGAACATTTGACCTTTCCAAGTGTACATTTTAATGTGTGATGCCAAACTTATCCCAAATTGCTTACTATTTTTCACATGCCCAAATTTAATATTATCAAATTTCAAGAACCTTTTTGAGAGAGATATGTGATGAGGCAAATTGACCTTTAACACCTTTAAATGACCTGTAATTTTTGTTCTAATAAGGGGATATCAATATCAAAACTTCGACTTCAACTTCGACTTGACTTGCATATATCAATTTTCCATACTATAAAGCTAAGTTCAAAAGCTTCCAAAACTGATATTTGGCACTAATCAAATCTGACACTTAGCATATATATATATATATATATATATAGAGAGAGAGAGAGAGAGAGAGAGAAGGTAAACAAATTACTGATAAGCTAAGCAAATTATAATGAAGTGTTGCCAATCACTCTTCTCCCAGAGCTACCACAGGACAGTATTGGCCATCTTTTTGCCACCTTCCTCCTTCACATAACTCTACAAAAAACACATTAAATGGATTTGAAGAGGAGGAAGAACACGGAGGATAGCTTGGTCCTAGTCAAGCAGCGAATGAGCATAATGAGGTCATCAACGACAAGGAGTATTGAATTGGTGATAATATCTAGTGGGACTTGTACAAACAACGGAGATTGGGTGCCATTGTAAGAAAATCGTGGGCAATGAGGTAGTGAACCAATAGTGCCAGATATACCATTGCTTAGGGAAGCCGTGCAAACGCTACGAGGGCCATAAGTGGTGGAGAAAAAACACCATCGTGGCCTCACACTTCTCAATCACATGCATCCTTATCACGTTCACCTCCTCAAATTGTCTTTCTTAATATCGAATAAAATAATATTGAAGAGGATAACTTTGAAGAGAGAGAGAGAGAGAGAGATAAGGAAGGTAAGTGTTTGTATTGGATGGCCACATCTGTCTATGAAGTCAGTAATGACACCTTGTAGAACAAGTTTGAGTTGCTATAAATTTTTTTAGAAGTTAGATAATAAAACTATAAAATCACCTATAATGAAATAAAAAATACGGTTGCACTATAAGAACACAAGATGATGAACTCAATCATGGAAACTTGTTCTAGATATTAAAATTTTATAAAATGCAATTGAATAGTTGTTAGCCAATGCTGTGATTGTGGTTTGAAAAGTAAAATCTTACAAAAAGCTATCTCAAATTGACCTTAAATGGGTTTGAATGAATGGGTCAATGAGTTGGTGGAAGAGCACTTTGAGTGAGGAATAATGGTGAATGAGGCCCCTACTCATTTATATTTACTTATCAATTAAAGCTAAATTTATGGATTAAAATCATGATCTTACAAACAATTACATGGACCTCATATTGTGATATTGATGAAAAGCTAATAAAAATAATCATAGTCAATGTTTTGAACGCATAATTGAAAACTTCAATTTCAATGAAATAATTCATTGATTCAGATAACAAAATAATTGCAATAATAAATTATATATTACTACTATTTTAATTTAAGAATATTGTTTTATTTATAAATTCTTGCATGTGTAACTGATTATTAGTTGTCATATGCGTCAAATTATTTCAATTAAAATCCTAATTTATCATCATTGATCAATTGACTATCATTATTAATATTTAATTGATATATGAAGTGGATTAAATTGTATTAATTATTTTGAAATATTATTTATTATTATATATATATATAGACATTTAGGTCAATTAAGGAAGACACACATATCACATACATAAAAACATGAACTCAAGACCTCTTAATTGGTAGCCTAAGCGCCCAACCAATAGACCAAGATGAGATGTGTATATTTTAAGTTGTATTTATTGTTTTTTATTTTTATTTCCTCCCTCCTTATGCAGAGACAAAGGACTAGCTAAGCTATTAGGGGGTTAAATGCTATAAGAAGGGGGAAAAACAATTTTTCTTTCTCAAAATTGATCCTCCTCTGCCATTGCCCATAATCAAGGAAGAAGGAAGCAACTTGCTACTAGTTGGCAGCCAGAACATGGGTGCAAGAAACCCTAAACTCAAAAAGGAAGGGGAAAAAAACAAATTTTCTTTCTCGAAATTGAAAAAATATATTGATAGAATACATTCCAATTGGTTTTGTCTTATTTATAAACAACCCTAGCAATGTAATAGAAAACAATGAGAAAACATTCTATAGTTAATATAAACTACTAATTAGGAAACTAATAAGTACTAAGAAGCCATGTCCCATATCAGTACTAGTTATGCATACAAAGGACAGAGCATGAAATACATTAAATACATGAAATCTTAATGTCCATGAAATTCCAACAGTAAGCCACTGTATCAGCATGTCTCTCATTAGAAAAATCCAGCCGTTAACGAATAGAACTTTGAGGAATTTTATACTTTAAAAACAAAAATGAAACATTTCATCAACTGGAAGTCCCTAATCTATATATTCTACAGGATTAAAAAAAAGTTCTGAGAAATTACTTGTGTTATTCAATCGCACCGGACAAACAAATTAAGAATATAAACTCAAATATGTTTTTACAAATATGATGCACAAGGCCAGATTCCATTATAAACCATATTAACCGTAACTATAGGTAGATATCCATGGCGTACCTGTAAATCTAATGGTATGGGGTCAAAAGCTAGGCGATTACCAAATCCAGTAAAATGGACCACCTTGTTTTTAAGCAAGATAGGCAAAATCTTTTTCATATAAAAACTTAGCTTTGCCTCTTTCATTATGTCTGCATCAGTTACCTGATATAAATTCAACATAAAATAGAGTTAAGAACATTGCATTGTAACTTTTGCAACATTGCTCAATATTTCAAGAAGCGCGTACTTACAAGACTACCTATGGCCTCCAAGTCTAATGACTGCAGTTCAACTGGCAGCTCCTTCACGATTTTAACATCAGCTTGTAGGTATTTGATAAAATACTCCTCCTGATATATATCGCTGAACTGGCTAAGATACAGAAATTGATAATGTCATCTTCTGAATGTGCGTTAACAATAACGGTTCAATAAAAATACGAAGGTATTCTTGAATATCTGCGACCAATTTAGTGCACATTCATTCAATTTATTTAATCAGAGCAAGTACTTCAATGCATCATGGACTGAATAAAGAACAAACTTGATAGGTAAAAGATAGCGATGCCTTTGTCATAAACCTAGAAAAATATGCAGAAGTCATAATCAAGGATAGAATAATGTTGCACAGCCTCAATAATTTTTTCATTAAAACAAGCTATAGGATGACCTTCCTAAAAAAAGAAACTGCCAATCCAACTCCAGAAGCATCACAAACTATTTTCAATATTTCTAAAAATTTATGGAAGTTAAGGATAGGAGACTCAATACATTATAGTTTGAAAAATTTACATACATACCACTTTATTTCATGCTATTTACATATCTAACACTCAAAACATTAATATTACATGCCTACCACCCAACTCGTCGAGCCGTTAACGAGTCGAGCTCGAGCCGGCTCACAAAGCGGCTTGACTCGGTTGCACCCCTAGGCTCGCCTATGAGCGGCACTGAAATTCCTAACTACAACCAATTGTAGATTTCTAATCATGAAAGAATGATGAAAATTTTGAAGCCTAATTTGGCTTTATCACGTTACTAGATACGTAACACTCGTACAAGCAGACATAAAACATTTCTTGAATTTTAAATGAAACTTGCGCGCCTTTTAATAACATTCATTTGCGCAAAATGATCATATTTAAATATTTTAAAATCACACTGGTGCATTAAATACAATTTTTTAAACATAAGCATGTTGCCCCAATAAGCATGCCACCACCTCAAAAAATATGCAGCAGTCTCGAGAAGCATGTGAAAGCCTAAAAAAATGTGTTGCCGCTTCAAGAAATGTATCACTGCCTCAAGAAATGTGTAATAAGTCAGCAAAATATGTTGTCTTGAGAAGCATGTCAAGACATTTAAAGGCGTGCAAATAAATTAAAAATGTGCGAACATATTATGTGAATGCATAAAAAACGTGCTACTACATAGTGCAAATGCATCGAAAAACATGCATGTCATTTAAGAAAAATTTTTAATTACCCACGTGTGCTCCGACAAATGTGCTAAATTTGCAAATGTAATTGCCTGAAAATGCTACGTGGGGTAAAAAGCACGCTAATTCAAACAGAGAAAGCACTCAGTTCTATGATAGAAGTTTTTACATAAAATATTACATGATATCAAATAATGAGCATTTTCTAAAATGCATTGGAGCACAAAATTACCTTGCATCCTGCCAGACGTTGCTATATTGAAATTTTGGAAGAACTAGAATAGAATTAAGGAACCTAGCAATGGCAACAGCATTGCAAATCTGTGGAAACGGAAATTAAAAAAATTAAAGTTACAAAAAGCACAAAATAGATCACGTGAGACATGCTATAATATGACAAGATAGCAATCCTGTCCCCTTACTGGGCTTATAAAGGATAACTAAGGAATCAATTAATAAGATATTCACGAATTATAACGAATTGGATTACAACATATGAGAAATGTATAGCTGCTGTCTGCAAAGCTTTCAAAATCCTACTCTCTCGTAGAACCCAAATAAAAAATACAAGCGGAAAAAAACAGGAAGGAACTGGCACACTGTTACTCCTTAGATGATTATTCAAAAATAAGCAGCTTTATTGTAGATCGTTTTACAATGATTAGCATAAACAACATAAACAACAGATATTGTGACATAATTACTTTTCAATAGATTTTCTATTGTTCTATTTAGCAAAAGGAATGCCGCAGGAAAGCATTGCTTATTTTCTTGGACAGCCCGACAACAAAATTTATGAGGTTGACTATTTGCCCCCAAGTTTGATATTCTCTGTGCACGAATCAAAGAACTTCAGTTACCACATTCCAACATGAAAGAAAAACTATAGCCTCTCTATAACCAGAAACTCCATAAAAGGATTAGTGAAATCTTAACAATCTTAAATATAATCTGTTTCTATTAAAAGAAAATAAGTCCCAAGATAGATACTTACAGCAACTCTTTGCTGGCTAATGCCACCATTTGCGCTGACTAGAATGTAACCATTTGCCCCCTCTGCATTTCCAAGAAAAAAAGAGTATGACAAGCATAAGAGTTTCAATGCAAATATGATACAATTATAGAATGTAAGATTATAGGCTGGTATGCCGGGAAGCAAGCAAAGCTAATAGGGTGAAAATACAAGCATAGTAATATTTTCCTCGCACAAAAGAAGGAAACAAACAATGAACATTTGAATTTAAAGTAGATGATTGATCATTACCACTTGGTTCCCAAGTCCTTTGATCAGCACAAGGTTTCCAGGAAATAGTGTGAACAAGCGTCTCCTTCCACAAATCATGAGGTTCAGGTTTGCCCTCTCCCTGTGCATCATGTAAACCAAAATAATTATTCTATACAATCTTCAAAGACAGAAAAATCAATCAACAAAATGTTACAAGAAAAAGGGTATGGGAAGAAGCAGAAGTCCGTCTGAATCTCACATCTGCTAGTGCATGTGCAGCCAATGCCAGAAGCCTGTTATACATTACTTGACGATGTCTTCTAACTTTAGCAATTTTATTTTGCTTTCCCTGTACCTGCAATGTAAGGGAATGATGAAAGCCAATGATCATTTTTATGAAAATGAAACAACTCAAACAACAAAAATTATTTTACTTTCAATGAGTGCATGAAAAGGCCTGCACTGCATAAGAAGTACAGAACTGAAGCAAATTAATTGACACCACTATAAAATACTTGGGAGATTCCTCACAGATATGAAGGTGTATAATAATTCTACATAATTTCATAGGTAAAGGAATGCCGATATAGAAAGTCCCCAGGAGAAACAAAACGTCTCCATGTCCAAAATATTGATCTTTTCTTACAGCAAACTGCAATACCCATCTTTTACCATTGATAAATTGTCAAAATTTTCAGAAATGAAGACTATTACCCAGAAGATCAGTAGGAAAACCTCATAATTTAGATCTAAGAACATGTGATTTTTTTTTTTCATGGTAAAGCACCAACTCCAATAGACCTAATGAGGGGATTGTGACTTTAGGCGATCAAGTCATTAATAAGAGTACATGTTTTTGATATCTTGGATATATTGTTCAGAGTGATGGTAAAATTGATGGGAATAGCATCAGCAGAATTCAAGTTGGATGGTTGAAGTGGAGGAATGCATAGGGCTTATTGTGCGATAGAAAAGTCCCCCTCAAACTTAAAGTAAAATTTTATAAGATGGTGGTGAAACCTACAATGATTTATGGCGCCGAATGTTGGCCATTAAAAGAGAAGCATAATACTAAGTTATGTTGCAGAGATGAGGATGCTTAGGTGGATGAGTGGCTTTACCCTTAGAGATATGATGCGAAATGAGCATATACTTGAAAAGGTTTGAGTAGCTCCAGTGGAAGATAAGATTAGAGAGAGCCGCCTTAGATGGTTTGGTCATATTAAACGGAGGCCTTCCGATGACCCGGTTAGGAAAGTTGAGTTTTTAGATTTATCTTATGTTAAGAAAGGTAGAGGTATACCTAAAAAGACTTGGTTAGAAAATATTATAAATGATCTTTCTTTATTAGATTTAAGTGAGAATTTAACTTTTAACAAGACAAAAAAGGATTCATGCAGCCAACCACACGTAGTGGGACAAAGGCTTGATGTTGCTGTTGTGGTAAAGCACCAACTCCACCCGAAACTGACACTTCAAATGAGATATCATCTAACAGTTGTTAAAGTGCATACAATTGAATGTATAAAAGAAAATTTCCTTCAAAATGCATGGTACCTATGAACCTGTGTTAAGTGGAAAGTGGAAGAGAGCTTTCCAGACTCTCCTTTGTATAATGTCCAATCTATTTCACCATTACTACTAATACAATTGTTAAAGGCCACTTCAAATTACAATCGTGAATAGAAGAATATAAGAACAATCTGTAAACCGGTTAAAGAAAATATATTCCAAGCTTAAATACATGAATCAGAACTCAAGCCAATAATATTGTTGATGCGCAAAGGCAGTACATCAGCATACTCCTGGTTGCCAAAATCCAATTTGTTTTTAAATCATTATGTAGATATGGATTAGACGCTTCTATATTTAGCATGCTTGGTTGTAAGGTAACTTGCAATAATCAGCTATATATATACCTTCATTTGCACGATTCAAATGTAACGTAATTGAAAGAAATGCATATAAAATTATGAAAACTTACTTGTTTCTTTTGCGATCACTATTTATTATCAAACAAATAAAACTCCAATCAATCATAGAAACATGTCATGAAAAGAACAGAGTTCGAATTTCAGAAACTATACCGGCAACGTAGAATTCAATATAACAGATGTCTCCTTCCGGCGAGCGGAGGGATCGTGCTGCAGCCGAAAAAACATCCACCAGTTCACCAGAAAGAAGAATCCTATCACCCCAACCAACACCACGATCCCCCGATTTCTCCTCTGCTGCCGCCCCAACCAACCGCCGTTTTTCCTCCTTTTCACTCCTAAGCTCTCGCTCAAACTCATCCCCTCTCCAAGCGTTCAGAGCTGCGCAGCAGCGTACTCAAAATCGAAGCTAAACCCCGATACTGAACAATCGCCCGGGAGGGGGAGCCAATGGCTCTGTAACACGCCGGATACAATAGATCCTGGAGAGGACTGCCTGCTTCGGGGGATGGTGGGGTGGGATCAGACGAGAAAGCTAGAGGACCGTGCCAATAACTCCAGGATGAGGGAAGGCTCGCCGGCGATAGCTTTTGGAGAAATTAAAGCCGTTGATGGACTGGGAAGCGAATCAGACTAGTCGTCAGATGACATTATCTGCGAAGTCGCAGTTTGCGTGCGTCGCCACCCTCCGGAGTTGCGCTTTTAACCAGCGGAGTGAGATGCCGAGCCGGTTTCGGGTAGTGACCGTAGGTTTCGAGTATAACAGAAAATCCTCAATTCTCACTTCTCAGGCACCAAGTCACGGCGTTACATCAAATAAATACAGTTATACAGATTAATATATATATATATATATATATATATTGATAGGGTCATAAATAATTGAGCGTTTGACAAACTATTCAAAGCTTGGTTGGATAAAAGCTCATTTGTTCTTTTAATCAAATAACCAAACAAATTTGAACATTTTCTTAAATATTCGATACTTTAATAAATAAGCTTGAACAACTATATGTTCAGCTCGTTTATGCTTATGAACAATATCATCCAAGGCTTATGAGCATGCGCGATATGAAACTCGTTAGGAGCTCTATTCTTGTTTTAAACATAAATTTTAATAAATCTAATATAAATATTTCTTTTTTATGATAATTTAAATATATAATTGATATATCATCAAATAATAATGGTGATTGGGCATGAATCTCGAGGCATATTTGAATTAAAAACATTCAAAAATAAATTTGAGACCATATGAACTTCGATTTAGCAAAATTGTAGTCAAATTGAACCTCATTCTTCATTGAAGAGTGGGAAGCAAAGCCACCGATTATTGTCGGACTATCGTCGGACTTTCACCCAACCACCAACTATCATCGGAGTTATGCCCGACCACCAATTATTGTCGGATTTCCTCCTAACTGCATGTCATCGTCAGACTATGATCCTTCCAACCACTGTCACCCCGCTGATTACGATCATGTTGACCAAATGAACATGTCAATAGCGATTCTTCCAACTCATACCATGTTATTCACTCTATATGATGTATATTTGCTACATTGAGCCAAAACCTTCACCCCAAGGAAATACCTCATTTGTAATCAACTGCAAACACCAACATATTCATTTAAACTAGGCAACGCCATGTGGTTTTTCTCATTTTTAGAACTTATCAATTAAAAATTATGGTATCTCTTATGAACACTACACCCCTATCTTTCACCTATTTGTGTGTTGGATCTTCATACAAAGCTAGGATGCTAAAATTCATATTTTTTCACCTTCGCAAATTTTATAGTCTGCAACAATAATAATAAGTTATTGTAGAACAAGCTTTTTTATAAGAAGAATTATAGCCCATTTGTTTGTGAATATGCTTGTTTTGTAGTTTAAAAACACTCGTTAGATGTGCTCATGTTCGAAAATCATTAATATGTTTATGAATTGGCTCGTTAAGTAGCTAAAAAATACTCACTATATATGTTTGTGAACATGCTCTTTTGGCAGTTCAAAGCAATTACTAAAAATGTTCGTAAACATGTTTGCTAATAGGCTCGGTAAAGCTCGTTCGTTAAGTTAATGAACATTTAGAAGTATAGCACATTTATAGTTTAAAAAGGCTCGTTTATTTAAAGCTCAATAAGCATGAAACAAATCACATATGAACCAAATATAAATCAAACATGAACATCCATCAACTTAAATGATTTGAGCTTGAACATGAACAAGAAATCTAGAATCGATCTTGAATGAACATAAACATGTTGAAAATAAACAAATACAAACATGAACAAGTACATGCTCGACTCGACTCGTTTCACTTACAGTCTTAGTCATGGGCATTGTAAAGCGATCCGTGGCTGCTAATGCCCAACTTTTGATGATGGGGTAGTTGTCGTTGTTGCAAGAGGCAACCAATGATAGCAATAAGGGGTTGTCAATAGTGACAAAAAGGTGATGGTGAAGCCAGCTTTACTTTTTATGATGAGCAAACTTATTCCATAAATAATTAAATATTAAAAAATAAAAATATATAGGAAAAAGTCAAAATAAATTATTATATTGTATTATAATTGATATATTTCATGTTCGACATTTTATTTTCTATTTTTAATAATGGCATATTATGACTTCATTTGGAATTAAGTCGAATATTTCTTTCTCATCATTTGGTACTAGGTAGTCACTGAGCTAGTCATAAGCTATTTTATTGCATAATCATAGTTTCTATAGGGAGGCTTCGATCTTTCTTTGAAGAAAATGTTCAAAGAAATGCAACTTAATGATGTCAACTAGTATAAAAGATGTTGCGATAAATTACTCCTCCTTTAACAATATTTTTTTAAAGTTTTTAACATTAATTTTAAATTTTGAGGGTGGGCACACCCAACCCTCATTATAGTGTGGTTTTGACATTGAAAAGGGGGCCTACAAGTGATGGAAACTTTAAGTGAGGGGAATCTGGCATGAAAGTTCTCTGATAGCACTAAAAAGTTCGTTAGGGATGTTAGGCCCCTTATGAACTGGCCTAAGGCTAATAAAGATAGATGAATTGGTAAAAAATATCTTTCAATCAAAACACAAAACTCAAACCAATATCACCACAAAGAAATCAACGATGCGAAAATTAAATGCATAAGTAATAAAGGAAAGAACACACCAGATTTATAGTGGTTCGGTCAAACCTTGACCTACATCCACTCCTTGGAGGCACGCTTCAAGTATTGCACTACAAAAGTGTCTCTCCTTTAGCCCCCACAGCTAGGCGAAGAAGCCCTCAGTAGGAGTCGCCGGGTCCTTTGACACCAAAGAGATCTTCTTCTTTGGTGAACTTCCCTCAAGACAAACCTTGAATCCGACGGTATTAAGGTGCAAGCCTGCCGGAGCAACCGTGTGGAATCCCCCTCCACACTCCCTTTAGTCCCCCCTCACAGGATCTTCTCCCTCTTACACTTCACCCTTCCTCACTCCATTTTAAGCTCTCTCTTCAAGTTCCCCCTAAAAGAATGAAGTTACAATGGCTGTCAAAGACACTTTACAAAGTGTCATGTCAGACTTAAATAGGAAATCTCAAAACAAGCTCATTAATGCAAGTTACTGACATTATCGTCTAAGATGATAGGCATATTGTCATGTACGATCAGTACAATTTAAGCTCAATCAGTTAGGATGATTTGAGATTATCATAAGAAATTTGTTCTTATCGTCCATGATGATAATATATCGTCCTGGACGATCAGTATAAATCGTGGAATATCGTCCTGAACATTACCCTAAAAAATAGATGTATGATGTCCAATCGTCCAGCGTATCGGCCTGGACGATTTTGCGATTGTCCAGTGTATCGGCCTGGACAATTTTGCGATTGTCCAGGACTATTTGATCGTGCAATCAAGTCATAATTGCTTTCCTTAAATCCAGAGAAATTTTAGAAAAATTGCCCTGGATCGTCCTGGACGATATTTATAGTATTGGACGATTCACCTGGATGATGTCCAAAAATAAGCAATTCTTAAATAGATATGCCGTCATATTCTTTCTGTTTTGAGCCTATCGTCCTGGTCGATACAAAATCGTCCAGGACGATGTGTTTTGCATAATGACGGCTGCTTTAATGAGGATGCCCTAATTAGGGTTTCTGCTTTTGAACAGATCGTCTAGGCCGATATAAATATCATCCCGGACGATGTTACCAAAAACAGTAAACTCTAGGGAACAATTAGAAAATCTTCCAAGTTACAAAGCATCAGGAGCCATACAAAATACAATAGACTCGAAAAAGGAAAAAGTGTATAAACTGACTCAGACCTAGTCTACCCAATCTTAAGCTGGTTTCAAATTGCAGTCTGATCGTGTGGACCTGAAATGTTAGTAAATAAGGCCATCTTAGAGAAATAAGAGTGTTTGCTATCATCAAAATCATAAACCATGAAAACAGATCCGCAACATAGCATTGGTTAGTGGCAATTAATAAAGGCACGCAAATGGCTTCTAACAATGCTTTTACACAAACAACACATTTGAAATTTGCCCAAATCAAATTAACTACAAATACATTAAAAATGAATTCTTAGAAAATTTCAATTATGATTTATTTTACCATGTTATGTTTTTCTTCAAACCACACACAAAAATGTTAAAATCCCTACATTTACTTTGCACCAATAATGCTTGAAAGCAAATAGCTAATTAAGTGGCGTGAATATTTTAAGTGCTAATTTTTATTCTACATGCTTTGATCGAATATCTCTTTATTTATCTCTTAAAAGTTTTATTTCCAAATTTCCATTTTATTTCGTAATGTCATGTTATATAAATATATAAGTCATTACTTTTGACCAACGACTAATGCAAAGTTTTGAACAAAAGAGGTGCTCGAACGTCCCTCTTCCTAGCACATGATATATCTATAGTGATCCCCCATTTTTTAAAAAACTTCATAGCAATAATCTCTACATTCGAACCACCATCTATTCAATGTTAGTGATATTATATTTTTTGACGTTTAAATTTAATATATTTATCACCAACAATAACAAGCTATAGAACATTATGTTAAAAAACACTCAACAATGTGCGAATTTTTAAAACATTATCCTAAATTTGTTTACATGCCAGGCCCTAAACCTTAAATTGTATTATTCATCGTAATAATTATAACAATTGCATTTGAATTCAGTTTGAAATTCGAACATGATTCAAATAAATTTAAAAATGATAATAGCATACTCTAGCATTATTCGAACACTTATGTATTATGTTGATTGTTTAATCATAGCATTGTTCGAGCACTTATGTATTATGTTGATTGTTTAACCATACTCATAAAGGAGAATTACAGTGCTCAAGATGCATATAGAACTATGAGTTTGATGGATACAATTCTTAGGTAATTTCATACTTTTGATATTTTTGTAATAGTTAAAGTAAACTTTAGTTTCAATGAAGAAGAGTGTACATTATCAATATTTTATAATTTTTATGCAAGTTTAGAGGAAAAGTTTAAGCAAAATCAATGTTGGATATTTTAAATTGATATAGTTGAGTAGTTTAAGTACCATAGTTGGATAAAGAAAGTTGAATGGTAATAGACCAAACTCATCAATATCAAGTAGCTTTAGTAGAAACCTAAGGCCTATGAGAATAAATTCAACTATGTCATACTATAGCCTTCTAAGATTTCATGTTGTTGCGTCAAAGTTATAGTATATTTTGTTATAGATGTTAGGATTACGTTATGTTGTATCAAAGTTTTAGCATATTGTGTTATAGTTGTTGTGTCACATTATATAGTATCAAAGCAAAAGTATGTGGTGTTATGCTTTATTTGAACTATGTTCTAATATGATTTGAACCATATTCAAACATTGGTCAAACATGATTCTAATAGGAATATGTTCAAACATTTGCTTTTAACCTCCGTGAACATTGTTCGATTAGGTCTGAAGCTTAGTTGAGCCTTGTTTGAATTCTATTTTGATATTCATTGGAATGTGGTCAAACTATTCAAACAACAACAACAACAAGCCTTTATACAACTTTGCCACAGGAATCCTTTTACTCAATTATGTCATATCAGAAGTAAGATTCTCATATAAATATAATAAAAAAGATTACTTGTAATAAATCATAATCAAGTCTTTTTTGGGTCTATCTTAATATTTTTTAATATATGTTGGATATAATACATCTACTAGGGTCATCAGAAGGTCGATATTTTACATGGGCGGAGAGCTTAAAAAAATAGTTAAATACTGCTTTAAATCCTTAATAGCATCACCAAAAGTCTCATATGATTTGTCAAAATTTAACTTTTTTTTTTTACCAAATAGCGTCTATAATTTAAGACTCTCAAGATATAGTAAATCCAAAATTAAAGGATTTATTAAATCTTAACTTCATCCAAACAATCCCTTAAGATTTACGAAATCTGAAATTTAAGATCAAAAGATAGAGGCGGAGGATTTATTGAGCAATGAGATCCAAGAGGCTCTCAAATCTTGTTTGTCAGGATTTGGCTTAAATCTTGTTCAAATTTTGCATAAATCTTGTTGCCAAACAGCCCCTTAACATGAAGAAATTATTACATATGGAATTCAGACCTAGAATTAAGTTTAGACATATAAGCATATACAATATATATAAACTATATATAAACACACACTATATTTTTATACACTCGGTGGTTGTTTGATAACAAGTGAGGTATAACTTTAGTGGGATTTAGTAAATCATGTAAATTCAGATTTAGTAAATCCTTAGGGTGTTAAATCATGAAAAATGTTCGTTATTACAAATATCAAATCCTATTAAATTATGAGAAAATATTTGGTAACATATTTCAGGATTTATGTTAGTTAGAGATTTAAATGCGAAGAAGATAATTATAAATTTAAAAATAAATTTATAATTTAAAAAAATAATACATTATGAATTTAATAACCTCTTAAGTACATATTACTCATTAATTATTATTTACACTATTAATAATATATTTTAATTTATATTAATTAAGCTAATTATAATTACATTACTAATTATTTAATTAATTTAATATAAATAATTAATTTATGGACTAATTATACTATTAATTATTTATTTAATATACTTAATTATTAATATTTTAAATTATATTAATTAAGTTAATCAATAATAAAGTAGAAGCGTCTAGGGTTTGCCTTGAATCTTCTCTTTTCGCTTCGTTGCTTCGCAGGAGGTGTAGCGATTGCAAGCGTCGCTTCTTAGGCTCCTTCGTGGCTGTTCGACTTCGCTCTTTCGACGACTCTCCCTTCCTGTCGGATCGGGAGTTACGTCATTTTGATCGGAAGCAACAACGGGAGCTCGCTGGCTGTGAAGGTAACTTTCTTCCTTTCGCGCGCTTCTTCGGTCAATTCCCACAAATCCGCCGAACAGAGGGATTTAGTAAATCCTGGATTTAAGCCGTAAATCCTTAATTCCGGGATTTACCCATCGCCAGGATTTAACGCGCGCACAAAAACCGTTTGGTTGGATTTAGCGTAAATCCGACTTAAATCCCGCTGTAAATCCGATACCAAACAGCCCCGTACACCTGCAAAATACATGGCGAAAGCGGCGCAGCCAGCCAATTCTACTGCTCACGCGAACGCCTCAGTGAGGAGGGAGCCGAAAACTGATGAAGGCCATGTAAATGATCAACGATGCCAAACAAGCCCTAAAATCGCATTCGAAAACGAGGAGAAAGAGCTTAAAACTCGAAAAGCCAAGCCCCTTGCTGCCAGAGCTGCCGCTTCCGCTTGTTTGAAGCTTCGGATGGAGAGTGGAGGCCATTGGATGTTACGGAAGCAGCAGCTGTGGGCCGTCAGCGGCATAAACCACCGAAGGCTGGACCGTCTCCTCGACCGGTTAGCTGCTGGCCACCAGTGGAGAGAGGCCAGTGCGGTTTTGAGCACCCTGTTCGCGAGTTACCCTTCTTACTATTCTCCGTCGGAGGACCGGAAAAACTTCATGGTTTGTCAAAAGTTTGGTTCTTGTTTTTGTTATTTGTTTTGGATTATTTCTGGTGTGGGTAGGGTTATATTACTGATGAGCACGTGGCGCTTCCGTTTAGATCGCTATGGAGCTTCAGAAACGGTTCTGTTGGAATAGAAGCTACCATAATTTGATCAAATCCACTTATGAAATATGGTTTGGTAAATTATCCATGAAAGGGAATGAGAAGGTAATTATATTGATTGGTTTTCATGTCTCGTTTTTTTCTTTTGCAGTTGCAATCTTGAAAAATCTTGTGGAAATCAATAAACAAACTATACTCAATGAAACAGCATGAAATATAGTTCTAGGTGTTTGAATATTTGTAATCTCTATTATTTTGATGCATCTTCTTGTTATTGAGCAGATACACTTACTTCAGCTGGAATTAACACTATTTTATCTCACTCAAGGGAAGTTTACAGAGGCACATTCTCACACAAGATTGTAAGGATCCATTACATTCTTATCAATTGTCTTCATATGATGCAGTAAAACCTTGTTTCCCTAGTTTCATATTTTGTTTCTTGTTTTATTATTGATGCATTGATTCTAAGGTGCATTATCATGCTTTTGAGGGTTGTGCATAAGTTCATGCTGTTTTTTTTTCCTACTAATTGCTTATGTTTTAATATGAAGCAGGTGCTTTTGTTTCCATATGTTTGCTTCAATTGTAATGTTGATCTTTTCTATAAGCAAAATATATAACATGCTGTATTATTCTAGAGATGAGTTTCTGCAACCATTGCTGAAATATTTTATTCATAAAATAGATGCAGCAGAAAGGGTATCATGACAACCTCCGTTTTTGTTGAGCCCTATGTAGTCAACCCTGAGAAAGTATGGCAGAGGAAGTGTTTCACACATTTTTCGAGGATACTAAAGTATTTAGTAATGATATTTTCTGTAATGGTCTAGAAAAATCTATTGCCTTAAGAAAAGGCGTAAGAAGTTGCACTAAACATCCTATCCACAACTTTATAACTTATTCTATTCTCTCACCCAAGTTTCTGGCTTTCATTAGCAAAATTCAAATCTTATCAACTTTTTGGAAATTTCTTTATTTCCATATTTCACCTCTCTTGTTAATTTATTTATTGATTTATTTTGTTGGAAATATAACAGTACATGGAATTTATTGCTATTATTGACTTTACCCTGTCATCATATCTTTTACTGATTTTGCCTTTTTTTTGATAATAGTTAATGAGACAAAAATTGATATAGTATAGATTAAACATACTGTTTCTTTTCAGTCTTCTTACTGAGGAATTTGGATGCGAGCCGTTCATAAACTTGATCCATGGATTGATACTTTATCAGCTCTGGTATGCTGATTTACCTGAAGAGATGCAAATAAAGGGTTTTGATGCTCAGACATCATCAGATGCATTTGGATTGACCTTGATTGATGGCTTCCAGGAAACTGAAATTGGTGAAAGTTCAAATGGTCATGATGCTGTTGATATTGAGAATTCCAAAGCTTCTTTTCAATGTTCTTCAGAAAGCTCAGTTGGCAATGAGAAAGTCTTTATGGTAGGAAAATATGATGTGCCAAGAAAAAATTCTGTTGATGCTTTTAATGCACAGGGCCACATTAGCCAATGTGATGAAAGCCAATGCGATGAAGAAGAAAGAGGACTCCCCATAAATCAGGATAACTTTGTTAACACATCCATCTATTTTGCATCCGGTTAGTTTTGCCTTCTGCATCCCATTTTTTTCCTTGATGATGCTTATTGTTGCTATTTTCAAAATTTTCTGGATATGGAATTAATGCCTAAATAGATTTTGTTGTTAAAAAATTGTGAGACTCAAGAAATATCTTAAAACATGGCATTGGTCTCTTATATTGGTATTTAGAGTTTTAGAACCATACAAATATGTATTACATTAAATAGGAATTGCACTCTTTTTCTTTGTTTCATAATCCGTAGTGAGTTCCGAACAGGTAAATTGTTTGGAACTAGGATGTGACGTGTAATTAAATTAGATATGCATGTGAATGCTTCTACATCCATTAAGGTTGCAACAACATCAGCATAAAGTGGGAACCAATTTACACTAAAAATCAGCTTTTGGCCAATCATCATGCACTTTGGAACACACATTTTTGAAATTTAACTCCATCTGTACTAGATTGATCAGTTGTGTAATATATTATATCCATGATCTTACCATGCGTTGGTGTTTATTCTATTGCCATCATGCATATGAAAATTTTTTGCATCCATGATTTTGGTTAGCCAAACTATACCTTTATGTACAATCATTAAAGATGATGCTATGTATGAAACTTTGCCATGTTATTTGAATATTCCTTATTTATGGGCTAATTTGGACATTTGTCTCTTGTTCTCTATCAGGACTGGACAAAAGATTGTTGCCTATACAACTGAAACTTTTGACAGAGGATCCGATTCAGTCAATACTGCTCTACAGGAAGTTGGCCAATGAGAAGTACAGAGATGCAGTGAAACATTTGCGCCGTGCTCTTCATTCAACACCGCCATTGTTAGCTGCATTGCTTCCTTTGATACAGGTGAAAGTCTATATATTTACATTGATGCCTTGTTTCCTTCACCTCTTTTGTCTGGCTCAAATTTCCACCCTGTTTGTATGGCCCTTATTCAACCAGTATTGTATCAAAGTACATGCAATCCTATAAAAGCAATGTGTTTGTGAAATGAAGACTGTAGTTAACAAGTAGATGAAAGAAATAAGGATATTTTTATAAAAGATCAGCATTAAGAGAGTTTTACAACTGCATCAAAAAGGAGGATGATATAATTATCTCATAGGGGTTGAAGGAAAGGGGGCTAGATCAATGTTAACATGGAATGAAGTAATGCAAATTATTTACATTAACTCAAGCCTTAACAAGAATACATAGTTATGTTGGATTTATGAGAAGGGATAACCCTAATAAAGATGGTGTTCAATGAGCGAGCTTTCAAAAAATACATAAGTTAAAAGCCTGAAGATATGATGATGCCAAATTATTTGAAGCATTTTGGTACTATTTTTTTAATAATTGAACGTATGTTAAAAACTTTGTAGCAAGATATAAAGTTTATGAGTTGTAAAATTAAGTTTTGAGAGGCTGATGGAACAAAGGATGGGTAAAATCTAATCAATAGCAAATTGGTTTATATGGGAATTTCAACTGATAACCATTTTTATGCGAAGGCAAATAATATGAGAGTAAAGAGATGATCTTCACGTGTTTTTTATTTTAACTTTGAAATAGCATGAGAGCAAGTTATGGGAATTGATTTGATGGCATTGAGAAAAAGATGTTAATGAGATATGAAGTTATTACAAATTTGAATTAGTTAAGCAATAACTAACATTAATAGAAGTTATAATATCTAATAAGCTTTTATCTTAATAATGCTACGTCTTGGATTAAGATGGAATCTATAGCAATTTGGATTTGATTAGTTTTCATTAGATATTCAAAATGAGCTAACTCCTTGATTGCTATTTTTAGATATGATATCCCAATTAGTGGATTAGTTTTGGATAAATGAGGAGGTGATAGGTGGGAATTTTGACTTACCTTACTTGAAACCCTTGTATTTATTTCTCAATGAAAATTTAGTAGTTTTTTGATATCCAGATAACAAATGAAACCATTGGTGGTTATGAATTAAGGTTGTACTATTTATGCTTAGTGTATAGTGCCTTATCACACTTCAATCCACCTCTCTTTATGGTGGGCTAACCTTGAATTTCTTCTTTGCTTTAGTTGCTTTTGTTAAGAAAATTGAATGAGATTAGAACATTAAAGGAAAACTAAGGATAAAAATCATTCTTCCATTTATTTAAGCTCATTAGGAAACATCTGTTGATGTGCAGGAGTATTACAAAAATAAAAGCTTAACAACTACTTATTTCCATCTTCAAAATTGATAAAAGCATCTTTATGTTTCCAGCATATTTTCTATTGAGGGAAGGGGTCACTGTGAGGAACCTTTTCGGTAGTTTGTAATGTAGGTTAGGTTAGTTTGTAAATAATAATTCAGTGTTTTAGGCTTATAGAAAGTGTCTAATGTTGTTGCAATGCTGCCCTAGTAGAGGTAATGTGTAAAAGTTGATTAGTCATAATGATCGAGTCCTATAAAATACAAAACTAGAGAATCTTCCAACCAATATAATGAAATATGCACCTCTGTTGATGCTTGTCACTCACTTGGAATATTCCCTCCATAAAAATATGTGATACGTTAACCTCATCAAATCATTGATATAATATTTTGAGGTCCATTGTTGTAGTCTGCTTGAGTCATGCCTTAATGGCCTCAAATTAGCTGATTGATCATTGTTCAATGGTTCATAGTGAGGAAGCCAACTTCATACCTTCTCATGTTAGATGAAGCTCACCGACATGACATTGATTAGCCCCATAGAATGACATGAAACTCTACGAGCATAGTGGGTGGCAGTCTGATCTACTATCAGAGTTCATAGTCTCTCTTGGTATGTTTATAGGGGCTTGTATTTATGGTTCAAAACTATTGTATTATACAATGGATTTTTTGAAGTAAATAACCAAAATTGTTCCTAGAATTTTTATGTGTGTCCCCTTTAATCCTAATTTTTTTTCATGTTCAATTTAGTCTTTAAATTCACTAAATATTGACTTTTTTTTTTTACTGTCGACTTTGCGGTTTCTTTGGACTGATTTTAGTAGAGGGAAGCTTTTGAATACACTAAATATGTCAAAAGAAAAGTAATTTACTTGGCAACTTCTGAGAATAAGAAAGGATGATAAATGTTTACATTATTTACAATATTATCAAAGCGCAAAGTGTGAAGGGGGAAGTAAAGTGCAATGCAATACGCAAATGTTTTGTTACTTCAAATTGTAAAGAGTAAAGGGAAGTCACATTTTAATTAACTAAAGCGCTCATAAATTATATAAATATAAGAAACCATTCAATTATAATTCTATAACATGCTGTAGTTGATAAATGGCTTAGATTTTGATATAAAATTGGAAAGAAATGTTAAATACATACTTGATTTGAAAACATACTTTGAAAGAAAACTTGCAAATTGAAGTTTCTAACAAATTTGATCATGCATAGAAATTAACAAATGATTACAAGTTTAAAACTAGCGTAGTAGTTTGATGTGAAAATTAGAAATTTCAAGATTGCATAAAAATATATTTATTTCATAGGAAAAGCTAAATTTAAGTGCATAAAGTCAAAAGGTTTCATAAAACAAGCCAAAGGGAATTTATTAGTCATAATCCTCTCTTTCATTCGCATGATCTCTTTCTCTTTCAAGTAGAATTTTTTCATCTTCAAAATCTTGTTCTCTTCTCCTTCTTGAGTTTTTTTGACAATAGAAGTGGATGCAAGTTGAGATAAACTACTGCTTATTGTGGATGAAACCCCTCTTATCTTGACTCACTATATCTTACATATAAACTTCTTTTGGTGTCTCTTCAATTTACTTTCAAGTAAAATCTTCATTGCCGAACCGTTGCTCACTAGCATCAATCATTTTCCAAATTAATTACTCATAACTTTCATCAACAGAATCCAAACTGATTGGATTAATAACATGTTTGAAATTGTACATTCTTTTTTCAAGTTTACTTGTACTTGATGAACGTCAAATCATTAAAGCATTTTTGTTTTAACCAATTTCTCTTCTTTGTATAAATATGTAGAAAAAGGTCATAATGAAATGTATAAAAGGAATGAATTATTTCGTATATTTAAAATTTATCTGTGACGACACTATAATTCCTCTCATATCCAACAACCTGCATTTCAATCCTAAAATCTATTGGCCAGTTTTTGTAAAGTTGCAGCTGATGCCATGATTGCCATCATTTTGCTGAATTAAAATTATAATATCAATCATAAATCCTTTAGTCAATATAAAGTTCAAAATTCTATATAGAAATTTTAATTGATTATATTTGGAGATTTCTTTTCTTAATTGCGGATAACAAATTTAGTTGCAAATGGGGGACACACATGGTTAGACATAGGGGCTGTTTGGTATATAGAATTAGGAGGGTAAAGTAATGTAATTACATGCATTTCTTAAATTAGGTTGTTTGAATAATTTTGAGCGGAACAGAAGGAAGTCATTCGAAGCATTAACGGTGTATTAGAGGAGCCCCATCGTGCGACTTCGAAAGCCGCTCAAATTGAGCAGGTTTGAAATTCTCTCGCGCGAGAACCAGCCTACCGCGATGGTTTCGCGGAAACAGAGCTTAAAAGTTCTCTCTTCTTCTCAGTTCTTCCCACTCTCTCTCCGGCTCTCTAGTCCGAAGTCCTCCGATTGCGATCTCCTATCCGACGAGGTACAACAGCGGCGCAAGGAATATGGATGGAACGAGCTTGATAAGCATTCCAGCCCATCGTTTGGGTGCAGGTCCTCGAGTAGTTCAACGACACTCGTCCGGGCCTTGCTTGTCGCCGCTGTTTTCTACTTTGTCCTTGTTGGTTTAATGGAGAAGAGAACGAGGAGACTGGTATAACAGCCTTCATGGATCCCCTTGTGATCTTTCTCATCCTCATTGTGTACGCCGCCGTCGGGGTTTCGCAAGAGAGCAATGCCAAGAAGGCTCTTGCTCCTCGTTCTCCGTCCCAGATCGCGCTGTCGATTTGCATATGAATCTACCATTGGTAACCCTATCAACCTAAGAAATGCTCAAATTTCTTAAGGGGGTGGTGGCTGGATCTGGCGTGGGACTAAAAGATTTTCTATACAATATCGGCGAACCTTATTCCTCGGCCTGGGGCTCATGGACTCACTACCGAAACACGTCTAAGGTTCTAATCGCCGACGTTTTAGTTTTCTTTTTAGTAATTCCTTGATGGAAGCTCCAATATTAGATGGTTTTTTGTTATTTTTTTCCCTGCTGCGCTTCTTGCTAGTAATTCGAGCATCGAATTTCGGATTTCACTTAGTGGAGCTTTGATCTGTCATTAGAAGTGTGCAGGTTTAGGATTGCGTATGTTGTATACTGAACTGAATGGTTGGGAAAGATAATTTGGGTTGCATGGATGAATAAGCTGGTAGGAGTTTGCAGGAGAGGTGCCTTGTTGGAAATCTATTTTTGAGAAGTATGTGGATATTGAAACCAGTTTGAAATGGTTTGAAGATTAACTGATTGATGTAGTTTGGAATTGTTTGAAGATTAACTGATTGATGTTTTTGGGAGTCTTGACCAGTTTCTTTGAAACAATTGATCAATCTATGGCCATCTTATGACTACCAAAACAATTAACAACATTTCTACAATCACATGTAAAATGTCCATAATCCAAACTTTTGAAACCATTGATCTTGAAATCTTTAAATGAATTGGTAAGAAACATGGGATAACGAGCGTGAAGATTAGAGAAAGAAGAGCCAACAATTGGTGTGTAAGAATAATCAGAAATGAATCATCTACAGTTACTGCCAATTTAGGCTCAAATGATGGAATCTGCCAAGAGCAGGAGAAGCGCCCTGCACCTTCTTACGGTGCTTCATTTCCTATTCATCTAATTTACAATGAGGCCAACG